ATGTTTTGTGTTAAGAGTTTGTTGGATTTGACATTTTCTTTGACCAATGAACCTATTTCCTCTATTGTATCTCAGGCGTACGCCTGAGATTCTCTCTTCCATCTCCTGCATTCTGTTGGTTATGCTTGCATCTTTAGTTTCTGTTTGTTTACCCAGATTTTTCATTTCCAGAATTCCCTTGGTTTGTGTTTTCTTTATTGCTTTGATTTCATTTTTTCAAGTCTTGAACTATTTCCTTCAGTTGTTTGATTGTTTTTTTTTCTTGGTTTTATTTAAGGGGTTTATTGATTTCTACCATTTTTTGTCTTTTCTTCCATTTCTTTAAGAAAAAATTTCATTTCCTCTTTAAGGGCCTCGATCATCTTCACAATTTCTTTTTAAATTTTTTTTTTTTTGAGATAGGGTTTCTTTGTAGCTTTGGAGGCTGTCCTGGATGGAACTAACTCCTGTAGACCAGGCTGACCTCAAATTCACAGAGATTCACCTGCCTCTGCCTCCCGAGTGCTGGGATTAAAGGCGTGTGCCACCACTGCTCAGTTATAAAGTTATTTTTAAGGTAATTTCCTTTGCTTTATCTGCATTGGGATGTTCAGGTCTTGCTGGTGTAGAATCACTAGTTTCTGGTTCTGCCATATTGCTCTTTATGCTGTTGAATGTGTTCTTACGCTGCAGTCTACCTATCTCTTCCTCCAATCATTGAAGGTAGGGCCTGTGGCTCCGGTGGTCACTCTTCCTCCAGGTGCAAGTGGGGCCTGTGGCTTCAGTGGTCACTGATGCAGGGCAGATGGTTGGGTGGGGGTAGAGAGGATGCTGCTGCCTGGTCACTGAGGCTGTGATAATTTGGGAAGGGACATGGAATGTGCCCCTGGGAGATAGGGCCTAGAGATCAGAGCTGTGCAGCCAGGGTCTCAGACACTCACTTCTTCCTCCAGGTGTAGGCAGGGCCTGTGGCTCTGGTGGTTCCTGATGCAGCAGTGCTAGACCTCTCTAATTTCTTTATGCAGGCTGTTAGTGTTGTGAAATTTCCTCTTAGCATCACTTTCATTGTGTCCCTTAAGTTTAGGTATGCTGTGCATGCATTTTCATTGAATTATATTAAGTTTTTAATTTCTTTCTTTTCTTCCTTTTCTCCTTCCTTCCTTTCTTCCTTCCTCCCTCCCTCCTTCCCTTCCTTTCTTTTCTTTTCTTCATTGACCCAGTGGTGATTCAGTAGAGAGCTGTTCAGTTTCCCTTAGTTTGTGAATTTTCTATTGTTGAAATGCAGCTTTAATCCATGGTGATTTGATAAGGGAGAAGGGGGTTATTTCAATTTTTTGTATCTGTTGAGATTTGCTTTTTGACTGAGTATGTGGCCAATTTTGGAGAATGTTCTGTGAGGTACTAAGAAGACAGTAAATTCTTTTGTGTTTGGGTGAAGTGTTGGTAGATAGTTGTTAGCTCCATTATTTTTCTGTTTAGTTTTGTCTGGATGACCTGACCATTGATGAGAGTGAGATATTAAAGTCTCTTACAATTAATGTGAGAGGTTTGATGTGTGATTTAAGCTTTAGTAATGTTTCTTTTACAAATGTGGGTACCCTTGCAATTGGGGCATAGATGGTAAGAATTGAAATGTCCCTTATGGTGGACTTTTCCTTTGATGAGCATAAAATGTCCTTCTCCATCTTTTTTTTGATTAATCTTGGTTGGAATTTTATTTTGTTCGATATCAGAATAGCTATATCAGATCGCTTCTTAGGTCCATATGCTTGGAAAATCTTTTCCCAACCCTTTACTCTGAGGTAATGTCTATATTTGGTATTAAGTTGTGCTTCTTGTATGCAGCAGAAGGGTGGATCCTGTTTTTATATCCATTCTGTTAACCTGTGTCTTTTTATTGGGGAATCAAGCACATTGATATTGAGAGATATTAATGATCAACGATTGTTAATTCCTATTATTTTTTACGGCTGTTGTGTAAAATGTTTGGTTCGGGAGGGGTACATTTCATGGTCAGATAGAAACCTGGTACAAGAAAACTCCACAAGGATGACCCAATTAAGACTACTAGTAACAGTGGATACATAGACTGAACAGGCCATCTGCCGTAACCAGGCAGGTCTTCCAGTGTCAGGGTTGGGACACCAATAAGCCACACAACCTTTGACTTACAGTCTGTCTTGCCTATGGGAGGGGCTAGGGTAAAGGTGGCACAGAGATTGTGTGAGTGGCCAACCAATGACGGGTCCAGTTTGAGACCCATGCCAGGATAGTGAGACCACCCCTGACCCCGGAGTGCTAGGACCCAGAGGCTGCATGGGCCAGAGACCTAGGATATTTCTATTGTTCTTAGGTTTGCTCTTTTCATAGTGTCCCAGATTTCCTGGATGTTTCGTGTTAGGGATATTTTAGATTTAACATTTTTTTTTTGACCAATGATTCTATTTCTTCTACTGTATCTTCAATGTCTGAAACTCTCTTTTCCATTTCTTGTATTCTGTTGGTGATGCTTGCATCTGTAGTTCCTGTTCTTTCCCAGATTTTGTTTCCAGAATTTCCTGTTTGTGTTTTCTTTATTGCATCTTTTCCCATTTTTAGGTTTTGAATCATTTCCTTCACCTGTTTATTTTTTCCTTGACTTTCTTGGCATTAAGAGACTTATTTCTTCCAATGTTTTGTCTTTCCCTCAAAAAATCCTTCTTTTCATTTTCTCTTTAAGGACCTCTATCATCTTCAAAAAGTTATTTTTAAGGTCATTTTCTTGTGCTTCAGCTGTATTGGAATGTTCAGGTCTTACTGTCGTTAGATAGCTGGGCTCTGGTGGTGCCATATTGCCCTTTCAGTTGATTGTATTCTTACACTGAGGATTAGGCATCTAGGTTTGGATGATTATAGGTCTAAGTGTTGATTCCTGAGTTTGTCGTGTTGGATGGGTGTTTTGTTTCTTGTTTTCTGTTTCCTTTCTTGTCTTCTGGTCTATGTAGCTAGGGGTTCTGGTGACTGATGAGTCTTCAGGTCCAGTAGGGTGTCACCACTGGGGTTTTTGTGGCCTGGAAGACCTCTGTGGTTTTGAATGCCAACTTTGCCTCTGCAATTCCTGTGTGGCCTCTGGGGTCCTGGGTATCTGCTAGGTCTCTGGGATTCCTAGGTCCGGTGTGGTCTCCATTAAGCAGAAGTTTTCTGCTGAAGTTTTGGGATGGGATATGGGGCTCAGGGAGTGGGATGCAGTTGGGGGTTGTTGGAGCTTTAGGGAGTGTTAATTGGCAGTGCGTGGTGTGTTGCCTCGGTCCCTAGGACCAGCCTGGCCTTTGTGAAGGCAGCATAAAGCAGCTGGAGTTGTGTACTGCAATATGAAGCCAAGGGCTGGGGTGCTGTTGGGGGATGTTGGGTGGAATTTTAGGAGTGTTAGTCGGCGGGTGGTGGGAAGAGTCTTACCTCTGGTCTTTAGAACTATCTTGGCCTTGGGGTAAAACATAAGTCTTCTGCCAAAGTTGTGGGCTGGATTTGGAGCCCAGGGAAGAGGGTGCAGTCTAGAGCTGTTGGGCCGGCTTTAAGGAGTGTTAATTGGTGGGTGGTGTTTTGCCTGGAGTCCTTAGGAGTAGCCTGATGTCCAATAAAACAACTGGAGTTGTAGGCCAGAATATAGAGCCCAGGGAATGGGTCATTTATTGATTTTTTAAAAGGGCTTAGGAACTTTGAGATTTTAAAAATGACTTAGTGGTTTAAGAGTGCTGCTTCCAGCAGGGTGGCGGCGCACACCTTTAATCTCAGCACTTCAGAGCAGAGGCAGGAGGATCTCTGTGAGTACGAGGCCAGCCTGGTCTACAAGAGTTAGTTCCAGGACAGGCTCCAAAACTACAGAGAAACCTGGTTTCAACTCCCCCTCCCTGCAAAAAGGAGTGCTTCCTTCCAGAGGACTTGAGTTCAGCTCCCAGCACCCACATCTAGGGGCTCACAACTGTCTAGAACTTCAGCTCCAGGGGAGTGTAACACTTTGGCCTCCCTGAGTGCCAGCACTCACATACACATGCCCCCTCATAATTAAACATTAAATAAAATCTTTAAAAACGGGGGAGGAGCTCAGAGAGAATAGGTGACGCGACTAAGATCTCACAACTGATGACATGGACATCTATTGGTTTGCTTAGAGCAATTCTGACTTTTGGATACTAGGATTCAGATACTCCCTTAAAGAAAAAATAACAATAATTCCCCTTTGCAGCGCAAGTTATTTCATAAACTCCCAGAAGAACTCTCAATGAAGGATTTCAACAGCTCTGTTATGTGGCTCCACATTAGCCTGTTAGGGTCTTTTATTGGATCCAATCTGAGTAATTTTTCAAAAATGTAGTTGACCATTAGGAATGAGTTGTTTTTTCTTGAAAGCTGCAAGGACATAAAAATTTGGGGATATTTTCCTGCTTTACTCTGAGAGAAGTTTCAGTGAAGCCCATAGAATGGAAGGCAGACTAGAGAACTGCAGAGAAAGAAAGGCAGGGATTCCTGGGTTTATGTAAGGAAATGCATGGGCTTGAATCCTTGAAGTCACATCAAGTACATTGGATCAACAAATTTCTGGATTTGTGCAAGTGAGTATGGACTTCTCTATTTTCAGCCCCTCCTCCAATTCTAACATAACCAAGACTATTTAAGCCAGGCTTGAGGTAGGTCTTTGACATTAGATCCCTTGTTGTTTCCACTGTTGCACACTTCAGAATTCTTTTCCTAAATATACTGCCCAAACTTTTGTGGCTGGTTTGAGAATCTTCCTTGTTTTCAGGAAGGTACAATCATAGGAGCCCTTGAAACTTTCCTTTAAAAATTACATAAAGGGAATGGGGAGGGGATTAGTAAAAAGTATTTGATAATACATTTAAGATAAAGTATTCTGTAAAATCAAAAGAAGAACACCACCTGACTGGGTAGTGGTGACGCATGCCTTTAATCCTAGCACTCAGGAGGCAGAGGCAGGCGAATCTCTGAATTTGAGGCCAGCCTGTTTTACAGAATGATTTCCAAGACAGACAGAGCTACAGAGGAAACCCTTTCTCAACAAACTACACACAACAACAACAACAACGAAAAGAACACAACCTGATTAAAAATTGGAAAAAGTTCTAAACTGAACCTTCATTAGAGTACACAGATTGATGGCAAATAAGCAAATGAAGATGTGCTGATTGGAGAGCTACAAATTAAAACAATGTACCATTCTTGCACATCCATTGGAGTGGACACAGTTCAGGGATCTTGGGACTGGAGAGATGGCTCAGTGGTTACCAGCACCCGTTGCTCTTCTAGAGAACCCAGGCTTGATTCTTAGCACCTAGATGGCAGCTCACAACCTTCTAACTCCAGATCTAGGAGATTGAATTCCTTTTTCTTGCTTCTGTGGCCACTGCATGCACATGGTGCTCAGGCACAAATGCGAGCAGAACACCCATACACTGCAATAACAAAAAAAAATCGTAAAAACAACCACAGGTATCCTTGCTCACTTCTGCTGAGGATGCAAAATGCAGCATCATCTTAGAAGAGAGTTTGTCATCTTTTGGTAGAATTGCACATCTTATCCTAAGACCCAGAAATCCCACTCCATCATATTTATGCACTGGATTTGAAAACACATCCACACAAAAACCTGCCTTGCACATGGGTGTTATAGCATATTCTTTCACCAGTGCCAGAACTTGGAAGCAACAAGATCTTTGCTCTTCAGTGGACAAGTTTTATATATGTATATGCGCGCGCGCACACACACACACACACACACGCACATTCACTCATTGAATTATTAGTTAAAGCAGCACCAAAATATGAGTTACTAAGTTGTAAAAAGACTTGATGGAAACCTAAACATATATGCTGTGTGGAAGCACTAAGCCTGAAAAGACTATATACTGTATTTTCAACTACATGGCATTCTGAGAAGGCAAGACTATGGAGACTAAATAAAGAGACCAGGGGTTCATTAGGTCTTCATTGACTGAGAAAAGTCATGTAAAGGAGAGAGTTTGCTTTGGCTCACATTTTAATAGGCTTTGGTTTCCTATGGTCAATCCTGGGTTCAGGAGTTTCCGTCCATCATGGCAGGCAGTGTGCAGTGAGCAGAGAAGGTCAAACCTTGCAGTGATAGCCAGAAAACAGACATACCCTGCTGCCAGGCCTTTTCCTGCGCTCCTAGAAGGTCATTTTAGCTCCTGGCCCATAGAGGGTACTACCTGCATTCAGGGAAGGTCTGCTCTCACTCTTAGTGAAGCCGGTTTGGAAACACTCTCACAGGCACACCCAGAGGTGTGCTGGAGTAATCCAGGTGCTTCTGAATCTAACTAGGTTGATATCTCAGATCAACCCTCACTCTTGATGAGCATCAGGGACTGAAGGTGGTGGGAGATTTGAGAAGAGTCCTGAGAATATTCACTGCAGGGGAATCATGACACTATGAGGGTGCGGTGTGCATTATACGGGTAAACTTTCACGTGCTCACCGAGAAACTGTCTCTGAGAGTGAAGATTATGTTTGGGTGACTCTCCCCCCTTTCAGAATCAAGCACATATTTTCCCAGGCCCCTTGTCTGGATAGAGGCTGGCCTGTCTAACTCTGTCCTTGAGAACATCAAGAGAGTAAGCCCTTTCCAGCAGAGGTCACCACTCTTTATCCCATGCTATAAGAGAGCCTGCGGTGGGAAAGGGAAGTCGGAAGTTCAGCCATGGGAGCTCATCCACAGAGAGAATGTCTATCAGCAACTTCAGCTGACAGCCTCAACCTCCCCATTTGGTTTCTGCTGGATGTTGCGAGCTCCCAATTTGATGATATTACTTCTATCTGTGGCTATTCCTTTATATGGAGGCTTTACCTAATGGGCCACTCCACCATGTCAGATACTCCCACTGGGGAACTTCAGCCAGCTGCCATAATGGGGCTTCCACAGTGAATTTCTTTCTGCTTTGAGCTACTAATTTGATTATGTTTTGCTATTTATCCATCCAACCCACCCACTTGCTATTTATTCTTTTACTTTGGCTTCCTATATACTTAATAAACATTCACTCAAAATCCAAAGTTTGGTTATTATAGATCATTGTCTGGACAATACAAAACACTGTTAAACATTTTCTAAACTCACGGAATTTGTAACATCAAGACAAATTCTAATGTAGCCTATGGAATTTGGTACATAACAATGTTTCTGGTGGACAGGAACCAGAGTTCTGTTTTTAATGTATCTTCTAAGGTGTCCAGTTTAATCCTAAGTATCACATTAAGGTATTTGGAGTGTATACCCTTGGTCTGTAGGACACCTCAGAAAACACGATGCAACTCCAATTGTTGTGTTTTTTGTAGCCAAATTCCAGCGTTTTGCTTTTGAGCTCTGTGCCACATGTAGAGGGTCCTTAACAAGGAGGTGGCACATTGCACTGTCATCTGTAAGAGAAAAAGAAGGAAAAGCTCAGAGATAAAGCAAGACGAGTCAGTATAAACTCCTTGTTTATTTAAAATTTATTTATTTATTTACTATTTTTAAAAAATATTTATGTATCTATTATGTATATAATATTCTGTCTGTGTGTCTGCCTGCAGGCCAGAAGAGGGCACCAGATCTCATTTCAGAAGGTTGTGAGCCACCATGTGGTTGCTGGGAATTAAACTCAGGAGCTTTGGAAGAGCATGCAATGCTCTTAACCACTGAGCCATCTCTCCAGCCCTAAACTCCTTGTTTATTTAGGTTGGAAAATAATATTAAAATTCCCAACAAGAATTCTGCTTAGAGCAAAACAAATCATTAAGACAGGCAGGATGCAACTGCTTCTTTCACCTCTTCAATTTAAATAACCAATATTTAAAAATTCATGAACTATACCTAATACTGCCAAGAGAGGGAGCAGCTGATGACAGCTCACAGGAGGGCTCTATAGGGTTCTATCCCAAGGGCCCTACTACACTGTTGGTACATAAAACTCACAATCAAGTAAGGTTGCCAGGTCATGTGACATATCAGGTGTCATGTCACATAATTCAGATTTTGAAAATTATAGGTATTTGGAACTATAGACTAGGGCATCAATAGTTCACTAATTAGCCAATTTACTTAGGATTATTTTGGTTCTCTGATAAGAGTTTTATTTGGCATTCCTAATCCAAGAGAAGAAAACATGAAATGGCTAATGCAAGAAGGAAGCAAGTGCTAACCAGCAGGAGGATGGATGCTTGGAGTTACAAAACCTTATCACCGTAACTTCTGAATGAAAGGAGAAAGTGAGATAATGAACAGCTTCTAAAGGAAACGGAAGTCTTGAGTGTGCAATCAGAACACTTCCCCGGTGGGGAGAGGCAGGAGGATAAGGAATTTAAGGCCAACCTTAATTACATATTGAGTCTGAGGCCAGCCTCGGCTGCACAACACATTACCTCATAAATCAAAGCAATAAAAAAGTAACGATATTATTTTAGAGTACCTTGAAAGAGGGATAGGCCTTTGAAAACAGTATTCTAGCTCGGAGCAGGAGCAAGCAAACTGCACAGATGAAGGATTGTGTAAGATGTTTGAAGGGTGGCACATTGCTTTTCTATTGTTAGGACACCATTAATCATTACTGGAAGTGTGACAGTTCTGAGGGGAAAGGTTTCCCCAATGGAAATGTTACAGCCCTAAGAGAAGGTATCCTGGCAGTCAGGAACCTAAGAATACTATAAAGCCACACCACACAACAAGCCTCACACAAGTATTTATTGGGAGGGACACAAGAGGGTGGCGGCCTCTGCTTGGGTGAGAAGCAGGCTTTATACAGAATTTCTTGGGGGTTGTGGTGAAGGTTTCCAGGGGTTGGTCTGGGATTAGAGAGATTTTCATGGCCCGATCTTGGGCTTTTTTTCCTCCCTAAAGGGTGGGGCCTGGAAGGACTAGAAACAGGGAAGTTGGGGGCAAGGGCTTACAATTACTTTATAAATCTATAGTTCAGCAGCCTCACAGGAAATAAAATCTAGGTAATTCATAGAATTGAGTTCCATTACTTTAGAGAGGAATCGGTTTCCTTACTTTCTCAAGAGGTCACCCACCATTCAGATCGAAGACTCCCTCTGTCTTCAAACCCATCATTGATACATCTGTTTAATCATCCTTGATAGTCAAATCTCTCTCTCTCTCTCTCTCTCTCTCTCTCTCTCTCTCTCTCTTTGACACTTTCCCTCTTTCACTTTTAAAGATTGGGTCCGTGGATCAACCTTTTTATTTTAAGGTCAATTTAACTAGCAACCTTTATTCATTGCCATGCACCCTAATATATTTAGAGGTCTCTGGGATTAGGCTGCGTACATCCTCCCTTCAGAGAGTAAGGAGGTATTACTCTTGAACTGAAAAATGACTAAAAAGAAACTGAACATACTGACGAGGGCAATCGGGAGCCAGTGCATTCCCGAGGCGTGACGTTATTATTATTATTTTATTGTTCTTAAAGATGGCTTTGGCTCCAGCTGAGAAAACTGAACAGGTAATTTGCAGAGTAATATTAGAGGCTACTAGAGGTGAGAGTCTAGAAAACGGTAGAGGATCGTTACATTTGTTGTGGAGCTGAGTCTGTCCGCATCCCTGTGCTTTCCGTCAGAACTCACGACGTCGTCCCACAGGATCTCAGCAGGTGCTTTTGGTCATTTGGATTAATTTGTTCAATTGATGCTCCCACAAAGCCTACGTCATCTGCAAGCAACTGGAAGAGATTCTAAGCAACGCTCAAACTCGCAGGCCTGCATAATTCGGTGGTTCACGTTCTTAAGATTTCTGCTTAAATCGGACACAACACTAAAAAGATCCACCGGGTTGGGGCTACACATCGGGTCCGTTTTTCTGGTTAACACCGCCCGCCCTCTGCGAACCTGAACCCGCACGCGCCTTCTGTGTCCACCGCGCTGACGCAAGGGGGCGGGCTTTCCTGACTGGCTGGAACGAGCGACGCCTTCCGCATTCGTCACTTCCGTGTGCTCAGCGGCTTTTGACCGGCTACGAGCTTTTATCGGCTTGGTTCCTATTTCTGTCGTCTGACTTCTTACCTCCACGCAGCTCGCCTTAAGCGGCGCTCAGAGCGGGGACATGAATGTTCCTGTGCCACCGCCCCCGGACGGGGTCCTGACCGGGACCTCCGGCAGCCTGGAGGCCGGCGAGCCCACGCTGGGTACGGCTGTTCTGCGGGGCGACTGCCCACCTGGGCCCGGACAGAGTGGGGGGACTCCAGCGCAGGCTACCCTCTTGCTTTGCGCACCCACGAGCGGAAACCTTGGTCTCCACTGTTGGGTGCGGTCTGTGTTGATAATTTAAGTTTGTGTTGTTTTTTTGACTGTGTATCTTAGGGTCAGTGGTTGGGGATGAGTTTGTCAGGAAGAAGGTCGATTTTCAGAGAACTGTCCAATATTGGCTACTCATGAAATAGTCTGACTTGTTTGGTGGCATTATTTTACCCGTCACCCATCATTACTTCAGCCGTCCCAACAGTTCCAGGAGAGATTTAAGCATCAGTGCTCGAACGCATCATTGGGTGAGAGGGTTAATTTACTGTACAGCCAGATGTACAGCATCGTCTTTGTGAGATTGAGAATATCACCACTCAAAGCATTTTCTATGCGCTTTGGTTCATATGAGGGACCCTAGATGAGAAAGGCTTGTCGGACCGTTAAATAATTTCTTGGTTCCAGAAATAGGAAGCTACAAATCACTCTCAGCATTCCTGGCCATGCTTTTCTTCAACGACGTGCTTTCCTGGCATGTTCAATTGTGTCAGTAAATATACTGTAGTATCTACTTGCAGCTTGGGTCATTCATAGTTTTACACAGAACTCACAAACAGCATGAATATAAATTAAAGCCGATGTTAGAGAGCGGGCGAGAGACGGATAGGTTCTGCAGATTGATCTGGGGCTTCATGCTAAACAAGTGCTGTTTTGCAGAGCTGACTCCCTAGCCTCAGGTGCCCGATCTTCTGTTAATGGTGTGAGGTTACTCACATGAAACTTTGAAACTGCGTTCAGCTCTTTGGACTTCCCTCTACTTAGTGCAGAGGGTTCTGCGGTGTGATTAGCTCCGTTTAGTGTTTACACCCTGGAGCCCCCAGTTCTAAAACTAGTTCACCTATAGTCTCTTTTTCTTCCAGTGTTGTTGTTCTGTTGTTACAGTCCTGCTCCAAGAAAGCTCCGGTCATGTCTTTCCCTTGCTTAGAATCCTTAAATGGCTTCTTACCACTTACTAAGTTTAGATCCATAAAATTGACACACAGGGATCCTTACAGGCTGGCTATATGGTATATGTTAACAGTTTACTGTTGCTATGCTGTGTGTGCCCATGATTCAGACACATTTTATTCCCATTTTTTTTTCTCCTAACAAGGTTGCATCTCTTCCACTCAGATCTGTATCCTTTTGGAAGTGGTTGAGTGAAAGTTGGTGCCATCTTTTAGGAGGTTTTTGCAATGTCGAAGATTGCACAGATGTTTTGCCCAGCTGTTTTCTAAGAATTTATTCCAAGGAAACAGGAACGTCCAAAGATTAGCTAGGAATATCACTGTAGCTTCCTAGCAGCTAGAAGATCACAAACATGTTCACTGTTCGAAATAGCAAAAAGGAAAAATAATGTAATCTACACAGGAGACTGGGTTGACTACTATAGAATTTTGTTCTGTCAAGAAGAACCGAGTAGATCCATATACATTGCTGTAGAAATATCTCTAGGAGGTATTTAAAAGTTGCCACATGTGGCGGCACATGCATTCACTTGGGCTGTGTGGCAAGACTTTGTCTTAAAATAAAACAAAACAAAAAATAGAAGACCTTAGAATAGTATGTTTCATTTATGATGAAAAGACTCTGTGCATGACTGGGTAAAGACAGTTTCTAGATGTCTGTGTCACAATCCTGCAGAGTGACCTCATTGGAGTTAGGCCGTGAGAAGGACTGTTCTTTTTCCTTTGTGCCCTTCTAAGTTTTTACAATGATTAATAAAGAGAACAAAAGGAAAGGAAATGGAGGCATTCAGTGTCTTCAACACCCAGACTACCTTTAGAAACCATCTCAGACTCCATAACAGTTCTGGTAATGACTTCGCATACTCCCCTGTATTGTGCACTACCAGGGAAGAGGATTTACCTTACTTATTGTTATGACTAAAAAACTAATACATAGTAGGGGTTCAGCAAATGTTCATGTGTGAATCTGGACCCCCCCTTTTTAGTCTTCTATAATGAAGTATTTGGAACTTAGCAACTAAATATATATAAAAACATTAACTGAAGCCTACCCAATGATTAATAATAGTTAGAATGTGAAAGGGAGGCCTATGAGTTAAAGTGTGTGTGTCAACTAAATATGTATAAAAACGTTAACTGAAGTCTACTCAATGATTAATAATAATTAATAATAATGTGAAAGGGAGGCCTATGAGTTAAAGTGTGTGTGTGTGTGTGTGTGTGTATGAGGTGTAGGTGAATTTGTTGTTACATCTTAAAATATCCTTATTGGGTAAGTCTTCCTCTTTGCCATTTCATTTTTGGTTTGGAGTGTTTCAGTTTCTGTTTACTCTTATCCATTTGAATTCTGCCTTGCAGTTTTGAAAATTCTAGTTTGTCTTTTTAGGGTTAAAATTAAAAATAGTACAATTTTATCTTGATTTTCTAAAAGATTGAATATGAGAGCTTGTTTTCCTTAGCCTTTTTTGAATTTAAATCTGTGGTGAACATGCTGAGAACTGTAGTAATGTGTGTGAAACACTCTAGAAAGTCGTCTACTTTGATTTTTAAAAGAAATTTTTTACTTTCATTTTCGGTGTGTGTTTTTCCTACATGTATGCATATGTACTATGTGTTAGCCTGGTGACCTTGGAATCCAGAGAGGACGTTGGATCCTTTAGAATTGGAATTATAGATTGTTGTGAGCTACCATGTGGTTGTTGGAAACAAAACCTGGATTCTCTGTAAGATCATCCAGTGCTCTTAACCACTGAGTCACCTCTCCAGTCCCATCTTAATTTGATGGTAATGGTTGTTACTAGACTATAGATGACAGATGTTCCCGAGCTTAATGCTAATTATGAAATGCTTTTTTGGGATACAATTTTAGTGAAGTGAACATTTTACCTTTTTCTCATTCAATATTACCTTTTTCTCATTCAATATCAATGATTGTAAAAACCTTACAAACATTCATTGACCCCCCACTTTGATACGGCTCTGTACTTTTTTTCCTGGAAATAGTAATTAATGGGTATTTTTCTTAGATATTTGAATACCTGGGAAAGGATGAGACATCATTCCTGGAATCGGGTCTAGATTAGCCCATAACATGATTAGAATACACTATTTCCTATGGCAAATTAAGGTACTGATTTTTTTTTTCCCTCTGAATTGAGTCATCACACATCACTGAACTGGTGTTAGTAGGCCCAGGTTGTGGGTCCCTATTTCCCAGCTGACTTTCCTAGCATCGACCCTGGTTCACAGAAGGTGCTGAGTCTTAATTAATAAACGACAAACAACCCCCTTTAATATGTAAATATACTGAGCAAAAAATGCCCTGCATTTTTCTTTCTTTTGCATTCAAAACTTTTTTAGCTATGCCTTTTTGTTTATATGATTTCTTCAATAGTTTTTATTCTTTACTTGGTTGTGAGTCTAACCTTTTATGACTGAGCCATCTCTCCAGTCCTCCCTGTAAGTTTTTATTTTCTTCCTTTGTGTGTGTGTGTGTGTGTGTGTGTGTGTGTGTGTGTGTGTGTGCTGGGGGATGGGTATTCAGTGTGTTCCTGTGAAAGTCAGAGAGGCTTCTCTCCTCCTGTGGTGGGTTTCAGGAATGGATGTGGATGTCAGGTGGTTGGGCTCGCATAGGAAGCACTTTGACCCACTGAGCTGCCTCATCAGCCTGTGTTTATGTAATTTCTGCACGCTTTTTAAAGCATTGATGCATTAATTCAGTGACAGTTAACTCATCCTTCAATCTGACTCCTTGACAAACACAGTCTAAATTTTACATTACATATAAAATTTGAATATGCTAATGTTTGTTTACTGTAGACTTTATTCTGTACTTGCAGCTTAAAATTACTTTTTTTCCAGGTTTGGTGATACACAGCTCAGGGGGCTGAGGCAGGGGGATTGAGAGTTCTAGGCCAGCATGGAAACCTTGTTTCAAAACAAGAAAAGCTCAAAACCACACAGAAACCTTTTTTGCCATGTTTAGTGAAAGCTCAGCAGGTACACATTTAAAAGAAGCGACTGCTGTAGTTGGGAGAGGTGTGCATTCTTCACTCCTGTGTGGGCTCCCCCTCCTCCCTGGCTGAGCTCCCCCATCCTCCCTGCAGTGCAGCAGCATTAGAGCTTCCTAAATTTGGTTTTCTCTTGAGCACAGGTTTGAGTGATGCGTCTCCAGATGAAGGACTGATAGAGGACTTTGCTGTGGAGGACAAAGCTGTGGAGCAGCTGGTGGGAGGCCTGCTGTCCCACTACTTACCAGATCTGCAGAGGTCGAAGCAAGCCCTCCAGGAACTCACGTAAGCCAATGGAAAGCCAGCTGTGCGTCCCTTCCTTCTGTCACTTGGGAGTGGCATGTCACAGTGGTATGACAGTCTTATCTTTTGGGACATCGATCATTGCACATTTCTGTGTTTTGAAGATGGAATTCATGGAGTAACTCATAATCTAAAAGTAAAAGGTGAAGCGAATACTCCTAAAGAGTCTAATTTCATGTGGGAAACTTCGAGAATAAGTGTGTGCTTAAATAATCTGTGTCTTTGAATGAATTGGTCGCCTCCATCTGAATCTAATGTGTGCTCGAGCTCATTGGAGTTTATTGTCCTTTTAAAAGCATAACAGCAGAGATGATCATCTCTTTTATGAATGATACTTGTAATTTGTGTTCTTTTTTCTTGTTTGATCTTGCCGCTG